GGGCGGGGCCTGAAGCCGAGAAAGAGAGGAAGGGAGGAGAGAAGGGTGGGAGGCCTCAGAGGTGGGCTGGGAGGGGCCTGGGGAGTGCTCCCAACCGGGAAGAGTAGGGGTGCTGGCGGATGCTCACAGCTGATCTCCCTCAGAACACGCTGATCCAGGAGTTGGAGAACTCCCAGCGCCAGCTCGAGGAGCAGCATCACCACAAGGTACCCAGCGCTGGCCCTGCCGCCCAGCTTGGAGGGCCTGGGGTGCAGTGAGGAAAGGACGCACGCGCCTCTTTTCACCACCTGCTCAGATACCCGGCACTGTGTTTGCTCCTGTGGCAGGCCATGCATATAAGTTACTTCATCGTGCTTCACTACAGCTCAGCGCAGTAGATACATCATTCCCCAGGGTGAAATAATAGAGAGGCCATAAGCATAGGGCCAGGGAAGGGCTCACCCCGAGGACTTGGAGCGGCCTCAAACCCTGGTGAGTCGAGATCCAGTGACTCGGGAGGGTTTGCCATCACTCCGCCTCAGCATGTGTGGGAGCCCTGCTACCCGGCCTGGCTTGCCAGGCTTCTGTGAGGCCGTGAGGGTCAGCAGTCTGTTCCAGCAGAGGCCTAGCCCAGACACAGTCTTCCTGGCCCAGCCCCACTGCGGTACTTCTGCTCCCTTCCCAGTTGGTGCCTCATCTTCTTAGGGCCCACTGTGGCCTGGCCTGAGGTCGCTGGCCCTGGCCTTTGCAGTGAATTCTTCTGCTTCTCCCCAACTCTGCCGTCCTCTTTGACTCTCTGATTCCCGCTTTCCCCTCTCTGCCCCTCCCTGGCCCCACCCCACTCTGGGTCTGCTGGCACAGGGCCGCCTGTCTGAAGAGATTGAGAAGCTACGCCAAGAGGTGGACCAGCTGAAGGGTCGAGGGGGGCCGTTTGTGGATGGCATCCACTCCAGGTACCGGAGCTCGGGAGGCAGAAGCGTGGGGCAGGGTCCTGCATGGACCCTGAGGAAGGAGACTCCCCCCACCAAAGACTGCCCAGGACCTCCGGGTCCTCCTCCTCTTCAGGGTGGGACACTGAAGCTCAGTTAGGAAGGGAGCGCCTGGCCTCAGGATGCTGAGGGGCGAGAAATCAGAGGATGGCTGTGTGCCCACTGCTATGCATCTTGGTTCCTTGACAAGGGCGTGCCCTCGAGAGGGGTCTGCCAAGTGTTATGCCCTCCCACGCCCACAAAGCCCACTGTAGAGAGTACTCTAGTGAGAGAGACTTAATTGAGGCAGGAGAGTTTGCCCTACTGCTGAAAGTTGAGATGCTGTGGTCCTTGTACAGTTCTGGGATCCCTTTACCTGAAAGCAGTATAAGTGATAGAGAATGGAATTTTTGCTCGTGCTTTGGAGAATCTCTGGATTTTTCTCCACCTTTGGTAAAGCAGTTGGCATTGAACTCAAGCCTGTCCTCAGTTCTTAGGCCAGTGAGGTAGGGTGAAGATCAAGGAGATGAGTGGTCAGTGCCACTCAAGGTGCAGGGCTCCTGCTGTTTTCTCTCCAAACCAAAGTCTCCTAGATGATTAAAACTCTGGTGGTTTTCTTCGGTCAATGCCTGTGTTGGATTAGGGAATTTTGGATCACTTACTATGAAGAAAGGCGAGAAGAAGTAGGTATGTGTGGAGAATCAGGGGAAAAATGAACTTGAGAGGCGAAACTTTGGGGTGTAGGGTGGTAGAAACTTAAGTGTCATCTTCAAGTTCATCAGGAACTGCTGTAGTGGTTTAGGAGCATAAAGAGAAGTGAGGAACAGAGACATAGAATTGTAGCTGGAATTCTACCTTTCCCTTCCTGTAGGTGACCAGAAGGGCCACTCTTCATTTAATAAGACCTGTCCAAGCCATCTTCCAGCATATGTTTTCCCTCTTTGTTGGGAATTATTAGCTTTGGCTGTACAATCACTGGACCCATCACTGAATCGAGGCTGAGTTACAGTGGGAAAAGTTACAGCTGAGAAAGCACAGGGAAGAGACATCACAGGGGAGGCATCTGGACTCTCCAGACTGTTCCTGGAGCCCTAAAATCAAAGTGGTTTCTCTATCCTGTGCCTCTGATACAGCTTCAGGGCCCCCCAAAGGATGGAGAGGGCGTATGCTGGGTGGAATTTTAGCTAGATTAGGAACCCAGTCTAGATTATCAGAGGACCCAAGGAGAGAGTTGCTGGGGAAGAAGACCAAGAGACAAAGACCCAGAGAGTTAAAGGCCCTTCAGAGGTCTTCCCTGGACCTCTCCAGTGCCCGGAGCCTCCTACACCGGCCAGAGAACCTTAACTTACATACCTGACAGACAGCTCAGCTTTTCAAAAGCATAATAAACCAAGAGAAGATCCCGCTTATGCTAAATGGAGAGCTGCTCCCTAGAACTTTCTCCCTCGGTGATTCTGACCCTGGAGTGGTGGAACAGAAGCCTGATCTGGGGCTTACATGGCAGCCCTACAAACATGCACCATAGCTGTGTGTGAGGTTAAGACTTCTCCAAGCTGAAGACCCCTGACTCTTGGGGCCCAGTGGGTGCTGGCTGGGTCTCTTGGCCCTCAGCATCTGTCCTTTCTCTCCCCTGCCACCCTCTCAAGGTCGCACGTGGGCAGCGCAGCAGACGCACGGTTCTCCTTGAGCTCCACTGCCCACGCCCCCCTGGGTCTGCACCACCGCTACTCGGCCCTGAAGGAAGAATCGGCCAAGGTGAGGGGGTGGAGGGTGAGGGGTGGGGGTCTCCCCCGGGAGTTTGGGGTCAGTTCGGCCGTGTGCCTGGCTCCAGTTACACAGACGGCTGGCATGTGGTGCAAATCCTCCCCTGCCCTCCCCCGTGTCCATGACAGCTGCAGCCCTGGGGCAGGGCCATTGTCAGCTGCAACAGCTGTGCACCCCCCTTGCCTTGGCCTCCTGGTGGGCAGGAGGTAGGGGCTGGAGGGCAGCCAGCCAGGCCCCAAGGCCCCACTGAAGCGTGTGAGCGTGTGCCTGGGTGTGCAGGCGTGTGTTTCTGGTGGCCGGGGTGGGGCTGCAGGGGAGAGATGCAATTGGCAAGATTCCTGGAACAACAGTTGTGATTTATTGGGGGAGAGGGAGGGATGACAGGTTACCTGGCTCTGGGGATGGCACCTGGGGTTTTCTGAGGAGCAGCTGTGGCCTCACCCTGTCTGATTTGGCCTAGGAGATTGGGGGAAGTGAGGGAAGATAAAGCACAGAAGAAGGCTGACTTCCATCTTTGGGAGAAGTCTGATTCCTTCCCGGCCTGCAAATTGTTAGCCACATCCATGTCCAGGTCCTCCACGTGCCTTGGGGCCCTGGAAGATTCAGACAGAATGGAGGAGCTCCTGGTCAGACGGGGGGAACCTCTTTGTCCTGAGGAAGCCCCAGTCTGGGTGGTCTTTTTGTCCCCTCCTCAGTCCTTCTCTGTTCTGACATAGCAGCTACCTAGGAGCTCAGACTGAAGCTGACAGGACTACAGCAGAGGCCGAAGGTCACAGAGACTGCGCGTCAGTGCCCCTCTCAGTCCTGGCTTGCTTCCTTTCCTTCCCTTACTCTTCTGGTTTTCTCAGCCCCATCCTGTGCTTTCTCTTCTTTGGGACCTTTGTCTGCTGAAGAAGTTTATAGGATGATTTTGGAAAAGCCGCTACCTCACTGTAATGTGTTCAAACTCTGGGGACTCGAGACAGACATGCCTGCTTGGCCCTGCCTTGCTCCCTGGGTCTAGTCACCTTTTGTGGGTTTGTATAAACAGAAACCAAGAGCCTTTATATAATGTGTTTTGTGCCAAGTCCTTGTGCTAAGAGGGGGACCTGCATTTCTTAAGCCTCAAACTACCTACGGGGTAGGCACTATTGCTGTTCCTGATTTACAGAGGAAGAAACAGAGGCACAGAGAAGTTGAACAACTTTCCCGTGGCTGTACAGCTAGTATTTGGTGGAGCTGAAATTCAAAACAAGGCAGTCTTTCTGTAATCTCTTCTCAGCCACTGTTAGCTACCTCTTGAGTGAGTAGTTCTCAGACTTTGCTGGGCAGACAGATCACCTGGGGATCAGCTCTTGAACGAGTGGGTCTGCGTGTCTAACAGGGTCCTAGGAGATGCAGTGCTGCTGGCCAGAAGTGGGGAGCTCTTGCTCCTCAGCTGTCCGGACATCTGATTGCTACTCTTTTACCCTCCTCCTCTGCTAAGGACTGGGAGCCATCTCCACTGCCTGGCATGCTGGCCCCCAAGTCCACCGCTGCCTTCGACAGCGACCCTGAGATCTCTGACGTGGATGAGGACGAGCCCGGGGGTCTTGTTGGCTCTGTTGATGTCGTCTCCCCCAGCGGCCACTCGGATGCTCAGACTCTGGCCGTGATGCTACAGGAACAGCTGGATGCCATCAACGAAGAGATCAGGTTGGGGCAGGCCAGCGGCTGGGGCGTGCTGGAGAGACAAGTCCCTTTGTGTGTGGCACTGCAGGAAACACTGTATTTGCCTCTTGGAGGATCAGGCAAGGTTCTGGCCCGAAGAGCAGGACCTCAGTCTCACTCTCAGGCCTGGTCTCCCTTCCCCGGGCCGGTGGGGTGGCCGGGCTTGGGAGGACGAACTGTGCACCTGGCGCCATCCCGACCACTAGGAATGCAGCTCCCACTGCCAAGGCCGGCGCAGGGCGGAAGCTTCGTGGATGCTTCTGTCAGGCCCATCGTGTTCCCTGGGGGAGGCAAGATGACCTCTGAGTTAGGCAAGGAAGCAGAAGCTCCGACAGGTTAAGGGACCTGCCCAAAGCTGCACAGTAATTCCACTGTGAATCCACACAGGGTTCAAACTTGTGGCAACTAAGTCCAAGTCCACTGTGCCATGGCTTCCAGTCCTAATGAGGCAACCAACACAAGCTGTTGGCAGAGAAAATTGTCAAAATCTCCCTTTATCCTTCCTTTTTTAGTGAGCTTATTAATGTCAATGACAAACAGTGGGAGAGCATCTGGGCTGAAGAATATAGTTTTTTGTTTTTTGTTTTTGAGACAGGGTCTGTCTATGTAGTTGAGACTGACCTGAACTCACTGTAGCCCAGGCTGGTCTCGAACTCACAGTGATCCTCCTGCCTCAGCCTTGCGAGTGCTGGGATTACAGGCATGTGCCATCACACCCGGTCTGAAATATATAGTTTTACAGGTTGTTGAGGTTCAGTAGTTCCCACACATTGGGATTTCATGAGCCACTTACAAAGAAGACGCTTACACACACACACACACACACACACACACACACACACACTCTCTCACACACTGTTTTCACTATTTTTCTCATTTTTTCCATGGAATGGAGAAAGCCCCATTGGGGGCTAGCATCAGTTAAAAGTCCTGCATTTGAAAATGAATCCCTAAGACCAATCCAGACATTGCTTATATTTGGAAACTGAGGCACAGAAAGCAAAGTGCCAGAAGAAAGCTCACCCTTGTAGTTACGGTAGACCAAGAATTCTGACCTCCAGGGTGGTTTGTGTTTCACTGACCAAATTACTTCCTTCCCTGGCTGTGACTTGTGAAACGGAGAAGGCAGGCCTGGGACGGAGAGAGAGAGAGGGAGGGAGGGAGAGGGACAGAGAGAGAGAGGCCGCTAAGCGCCATGCATTCTATATCCTGAAGAGGCCACAAACTACACGGGGTGTCCCTAGGCCTTGCCTTGCGCGGGGCCCTAGGGTAGCGAGTGCCAGTCCTTGCTGAGCTACTGGCCAGGTCTGGTTCTGCCTGCCTCCCAGGATGATCCAGGAAGAAAAGGAGTCCACGGAGCTCCGCGCAGAGGAGATCGAGACGCGCGTGACCAGCGGCAGCATGGAAGCCCTAAACCTGACGCAGCTGCGCAAGCGCAGTTCCATCCCCACCTCGCTGACCGCCCTGTCCCTGGCCAGCGCGTCGCCTCCCCTCAGTGGCCGCTCCACAGCGAAGCTCACCTCCCGCAGCGCTGCCCAGGACCTGGACCGAATGGGGGTCATGACCTTGGTGAGAGCCTGTGGGCAGCTGAGAAGCAGGGCTTCCTCTGAGTCGGGCCCACCACCTGATTCCCATAAGTGATATCTCGGGCGGAAAGGGCGCCAAAACAGCCTTGCCCTTGGGTAAGCGCGGAATGCCTGAGCACTCACCTACTGCCCACACTGCTCCTCGCCTGCACAGGTAGCCTTGGCTTCATTTTCCAGGCCAGCCTTTCCATCTGTGACACTCTCTCCAGGCCCACGAGACACTGCATACTATCTTCCCATCTGAGACTAGTGGGCTCCTCCTGGGGTCAGGTTAGGGCAGCGGAGGGCTTGGCCCAGCTCACCCTTACCTCTCTCTTCCAGCCCAGTGACTTACGAAAGCATAGGAGGAAGCTGCTGGTGAGTGTTGCCTGGTGACCCAGGTTCTGATGGGTAACTGTTCCCGACCCTTCCCTGTGGCGCCAACCCCTTGGCTCTCAGCCTGAGTCTGAACTTGAGAAGGCCACAGGGCCTCCTGACAGTTGCTCGATTTTCTTGCTCCTCTGCCTCGTCCGGGCTGGGTAGGCAAGCCCCAGATCTCACCCTCTACCCCCTGACGGCTCCACTGTCTGTTCAGTCGCCAGTGTCTCGGGAAGAGAACCGAGAGGATAAAGCCACCATAAAATGTGAGACTTCTCCTCCTTCCTCACCCAGGACGCTGCGGCTAGAGAAGCTTGGCCACCCAGCCCTGAGCCAGGAGGAAGGCAAGAGGTAAGGAGAGCCGGCCCGCCCCCACCTCTCTGTCCCCAAGGCCATCACATCCTCCCCTCCCTCTGGTCAGCTTCCCTTGCCTTGCCCTAAGCTGGCACTCATGTGCGAGTTCTTCCGCGCTGCTCACTTCCCTCTCTCCTGCTGTAATTTAAGTGTGTTTCTTCTTCCGCCCCCTCCTGGCTGTCATCCTCTAGTGCCTTGGAAGATCAAGGCAGCAACCCCAGCAGCAGCAACAGCAGCCAGGACTCCTTGCACAAGGGCGCCAAGCGCAAGGGCATCAAGTCGTCCATTGGTCGCCTGTTTGGGAAGAAGGAGAAGGGCAGGCTGATTCAGCTGAGTCGGGATGGAGCCACAGGCCACGGTCTCTGCCCCATTCATAGCAGAGGGCTGGGTGTGCTTTGGGGAGTCAGAAGCCCAGGGGTGCCCTGGGCCCGGCCTTCTCTGCTGCCTTCCTAGGGCTGGTAGGCGGGAAGCTTCAGGCAGGCAGATTCCAGCTCCAGAGCGTCCCCGTTTTCTGTTAGGCGTTTCCCAGTAGGAGGGATGGCCTCGGGAGGGGGCAGGCGCCTGCACTTCCGGCAGTGTGAGGCCACGTCCAGGAGGCCTTGGACTTGGCCTGCTGTAGCAGGGCTTCCTGGGTGGAGGGAACCCTCCAACCGCTGTGCTCTCCTCCAGTTTAAAGGTTCTCTGATGCACTGTGCGGCACCTTCAGGAGAAACTTCTTAGTTCTGTCTCTGAACGAGTCAGTTCTCGATTAGAACTTACTTCTGGTACTCAGGATATGATGGCTTTACAGACATCCAGTTCAGGAGAATGCTTGGGCAGGGAAGCACTTTTGTCGTCTCTGTGGTATAAGCTCTAGGTCCCTCTCTGTGTGGGAGGTACACAGTGAGTGTTCACTTTCTTCCTTTCTCTCCCCCATTTCATCTTCCCTTTCTTCTTTTCCCTCCTTTTTTTTTCCCCATTGCCTATTTAGGCATTTGTTCAAACACTTATTCAGTACTTCCTGTGTGGTGTGGTGCGAGGTATGGGAGAGACAGCTCATCCTCGAAGGATCTTAGTATCTAATGAAAAGGAAAACATGCTTTCAAAACAGTACAATGGAGATAAGCCCAGGGTGCTTTAGGGGTTCAGACTGGCTGTGAGGAGGTGGGGGCCCCCCTGAAGGGCTTCCTCTTTGGGCAACCTGAGCCAGAACTGGAAGGAGAATGGAGGGGGCTGTGTGTACCGGAGGGGCTTGCTCTGAGCAGGGGAAGACGTGGGCAAGGGGGCTTTGTTTGCTGTTTTGTGTTCAAATGAAGTCAGAGGATAGAGAAGAGGGGAGAGGGATGCCAGCTTCTGAATCTGACAAGAGGCAGTGGGAACAACGATGAATTTCTTGTTGGGGAGGAGCTCCACCAACTGGAAGAGAGGAAACCTTTGAACGCAAATGCATAATTAGACTTTTCTGCACCTAGGGAAGGTACAAATTGGATTAGACCTCTCTGAGTGAGGAGGTGGGGAGGTGAGGAAGGGGAAGAGGAGGAAGACAAGGATAAAGGGCCGGGAGGACAAGGGGATTGAAGGAGGGTAGCCTTGTCCAGGGTGTGGGAGTCTTGGCTCGGGAACAAGGCAGAGCCCTGTCCTCCTCCCCATCCTCAGGGGGCAGAGGGATGGCAAGGTGGTCAGGTCTGATCAGGGGCAGAGGTGTGCTGTGAAAAACCTCATGATTTCCTGTGCCCCACGCCATGTTGGTGCCGAAACCTGGGACAACATCTCAGACTGGTTTCTGGATCTTCCACACCTGCTGCCCGTGTGTGCTTTGAGGAACAGCCAGGACACCAGTGAATTCTGAGATGCCACCCTTTGCCGCAAATTCTGTAGGGTTCCATCCTGAATTTAAGAGACCCTCAGTAGAAGAGAGCAGAATCTGTCCATCCTTGCAGTCTGTGCGAGTGGGCACACATACAGAGCGAGGCTGGGAGGCATATCCTTCTGTGCCGAAGTCCCCACCCAAGTGGGGACTCACCCAAGTCAGTCTGATCCTCCTGGAGCCTTGTGCCTGCTCTCTGGGTTTGCTTTGCCCCTTGGCTTGGCATAGGGACAGGTTCTCTCTAGGATTCTAGGGTGGGGCCCCTTTGGTCCATCTGGCTGAGGCTCCCAGGGGCACAGCATCTGGGTGATCCACCCAGGGCCATTCTGGATGCAGCACCTTGGGAGGAGGCTCTAGGAATCACGTGAGGTCCCATCAGGTGCTACTGAGGAGCCCCCTGCTGCTTCTGTTCCTCTTCACTGGCCCAGGCCAAGGACAGAGCAGCAGGGGGCTCGCTGACTCAGGCATCTCTTCCCTTCCAGTTCTGCTAACCGACTCCGAGCTCAATCTGCAGGAGCCTGTGGTGCCTGCTAAGCTGGGGACCCAAGCAGAGAAGGACCGGCGGCTAAAGAAGAAGTAAGGGCCTCTTTCCTTCTCAGCTGCTATGGGACTGAGCTCAGGGAACCAGAGCCCAGTGTGGCCCTTCCTGAGCTGAGTTGGTCCGGATGGGCACATCAGGGTCCTGAGTTAGGAGGAGGTGCTTAGGATGACCCTAAGGAGAAGGAAGCAAGGGGATGGCTACCAAGTGTCCCTGGGACTGTGCGGGCAGAGCATGCTGACGTATCTAAGTCAGCACGCGCACAGGAAGAGCCCTTCCATCCTTTGGGCAGGGAGGGGTGTCCTGCCCCCTTCTTAGTGTCACATTGCTTCAGCATAGAGCAGCGGAATCCACGGGTGGGGAGCCAGGGAAGTGAAGTCCCCACGCTTAGCGCAGCCCAGCAGTCCCCAGGAGCCAGCCTGACTGAGAGGAGGGACCAGTGAGTCTCTGTTCCTCCTCTTACAAGACACCAGCTGCTGGAAGATGCCCGCAGAAAAGGGGTGCCCTTTGCCCAGTGGGACGGCCCCACGGTGGTCTCATGGCTGGAGGTGAGCCTGGGCGCGGGAGTCTGCTCTGGGCCGTGGAGGGAGGCTCGTGTGGGTTGGTACAAGGACCCCCAGCAGCGGGTGGTGTCCCCGCAACTTCCCGAGCATGTCTACCCCTGCCAAGTGCTTGCGTGCCACTCCAAGCCCTTGTCTGTTCCCACAGACCCGCTTAGAACTAACTTCAGAGGACATAAGTTTTGGGAAGGGGGCCCAGTTCCCAGGCAGTTCGGCTCTTACAGGTTTCCGCTAGGAGCTGATCACCTTCATGATGCCGAGAAAAATCCCTTCACCTTCCCAGGCCTCTTGATTTGTAATCTGTAAAATAATTTCTTGCTCATCATCTCTGTATTCCTAAGCTCCCAGAGGTGCTGTGTCTGCTCTGCGGAGACCGTGGCTGAGGCCTGTCCTGGGCCCAGGCTCTTGGCACGGGGCCAGGTCTTGGGAAAGGGTTGACTTGTCCCTGCACCGCACCTTCCGTCTGCAGCTCTGGGTGGGGATGCCTGCCTGGTACGTGGCCGCCTGCCGGGCCAACGTCAAGAGTGGTGCCATCATGTCCGCCCTGTCGGACACAGAAATCCAGCGGGAGATCGGCATCAGCAACGCCCTGCACAGGCTCAAACTGCGGCTGGCCATCCAGGAGATGGTGTCACTCACCAGTCCCTCTGCCCCACCCACCTCCAGGACGGTGAGTGCCTCCCTCACCTGGGGCGTTTCCAGGGCCCTGGAATGGTGTTTGCAGAGCCTCCTGTTGGTCTCTGTGAAGATGGTAGCCTTGGGCTCCACCCTGTCCCATCCTCACAGAAGGCTTTGGGAGGGGGGTGACATTGATTCTAGGAGGGTACGACAGGCCTGGTTTGCTGCCTCTATGTACACTCCGTGAACTCCATTTCTCCATCTCTGCCTGACAGTGATTCCAGATCTCTGCACAGAGTTTCTCAGACAGGAGTTCTGGGGTTCTGTGTTATTGCCAGGTCTGGGAAGGTAGAGGTATCGGACATTGAAGAATTCTGTCCTGTCCTCGAACTTTAACACAAGCTAAAATCTCACAGTTGTTCATCTCTGTGATCACGGTCGTCCCCATTTGGGGTCAGCACCATTCACTCCTATTCATCCAGGAAATGTGCACTGAACACTCTCTATGTGCCAGGCCCTGTGCTAAGTGGCGTAGATACAATGGTCAAAGAGATGTTCAGAGCTAGCCAGGGTGCAGGACTCTGGGCTGGGCACTGGGGGGACTCACGGGAAGGGAGCTTTGTCCTGGTCCTCGGGTTCTGGGCCTCCTGGGGGATCCTAGGGACCCCACCCGGACCAGCTGGGTTTCCTCTCTGCCTGCAGTCTTCCGGAAATGTCTGGGTCACCCACGAGGAGATGGAGACTCTGGCAACATCCACCAAAACAGTGAGTTGGCCCTTGGCTCTGGGCCTGGGGTTCAAACTGGTGACTCCCGAGAGATAGGGGAAAGCTGTAGGGAGTCTGAGGTGCTTGCAGCAGATCTCAGATTGATTGGTCCGGGTCTCAGGGTGGAGGGTTGTGGGGAAAGGGGAGATTGGGAACAGTCTGTTTCTGTTGGTGTGTTCCAGGGTGGGTACAAGCCGCCCACAGCCCCTGGCACACTGCAGTGGAAGAGCCTGAGGGGCTTTGCCCCATTTTGGGCCTTTGGGCCCGAGCTCCAAGTTCCTTGCCCAGGGCTTGATCCCTGGTGCAGGAACAAGGCTGGGACAGCCTGGCATCTTGCCTGGCTCCCAGTCAGTCCTGGAAGGCACAGAAGCATGCTTTTGCCTCGGACATTTGCTCCCCTCTCCCCATGAGCGAGGGTACATGGAGCAGCCTTCTGCTTCCTCTGGACTACCCCAACAAGCTCTCCCTGGTCACACCCTAGCTGTGGGGGCATCTTCTTACCCTGTTTCCGGGGCCTGGGTAGATGTTGCTGGTTTCTTGACTTTGCCTGTTTCCCCGACACGCGGCACTTGTTCCTGCTAGGACAGTGAGGAGGGCAGCTGGGCTCAGGTAAGGCCCCTTCTCCGCCGGGACAGCTCTCAGAAGGTCAGACAGCGACCTTCCCAAGGCTCCCTGGCCCGCAAGTCCCAGCGTGTGTGCCAGTCTTGGCACTAGGAGCCCTGGAGCCCCCTACCAGTGCCCCCTTGGCCCTTTGTTGTAGTTTTTCAGGGTGGCAGGTGAGGGACCCTGGAGGGCTGTGCCCTACCATGTGCCTGGCGCTTCTCTGCACCTTGACTCTCTTCCCAGGAATGAGAGTGAGGCTCAGATTGGTACGAGCCTTCCTCTCCCTGCCCCTCTCAGGGGCACTCGGGTGAAGTAGGCAAGGCCTCACATCCGTTCATGTAGTGCTCAGGTGTTCGTTGAGCATCCACCATGCGTTATGCCTTTCTAAGCTTTCTGGATACAAAAGTGGTTGAACAAATACAGCCCTCCCGGAGCAGCAAACAGAGGAACGATAGCGACAAACAGTATCATCAAAGATCAAGACGGTAATGTCACAAATACAGGCTCAGAGTCGGTAGTGCAGGGTGCCACCAAGAAGAATGAAACAGGAAGCGGGTGGTTCACACACACGGGGAAACCCCTTCCACGGGAGACGGAGCTGGTTGATAATAGCGTGTTCGCACAGTGAAACACTGTGTAGCGAAGAAATGGAGGCATGAAAATATAAGGTTAAATGAGTCCCGAGAGCCTCAAAGCATTTGACACTGAAATTAAAAAAGAAGCGAAGTGAATGTATTGTTCGGAAAAATAGACATTAGTGATTGTAGAAATTGTCAACACATTCTTAAAGCAAAGGAACACTAGACAGCAAGCTGAGCGGGGCGGTTACCTCGGGAGGGGCGCTGGGGAGTGGGAGAGGGGAGAGCAGTGCAAAGGTGGGTGCTTGGGTGCGGAGCAAGTCTGGTCTTTCCCTTCCGCGCCATCCTGGGATCATCAGCGGTCACTTCGTTTCATACTCACTGTGACGTGTGCGACACGTGGCTTTATATACGTGAGCACTTTTGTGCCAAATGTCAGCAAAATAGAACTCACCAGTGTGGAAAATGTCACGGGAATCATGGTGGAGAGTCGCTGTCAAAACTAAAGCTTTCGAAAGGCAGCAGTCATGGAGCCCTTACCTGCTAACTTCAGGAGGTGACTTCTAGGGGTCTTGGGATCTGGGAAGGCAGCGGAGGACCTACAGAGTTCTTGGAGAAGAGGACCAGGCCTTGGAGAACCCACCTGGTTATTTACATGCAAGCTACCTGCCCTTTGCTTTTTTCCTGGCTTCGCCCAGCATTTAACATCCCTGTGGGCTGTGAGGCCAGCTGTTTTCCAGAGTGAGGCTGGCATGCTCTGCTCCCTGCAGGTCCGTTGTACGCAGCCTGGCCCCTGGGCCCGGTGGGCTCGAGGCTCATGGAGAATCAGGGAGGCAGGAGAGCTGCATAGTACCGCAGGTGCATTCCATTCTCTGCTGCCCAGATGCTTGCTCGCTCCGGTTCATTAGCGTGGATCGTTGATGTATGAGTGGGACTGGGTCGTTTGGAGATCTTGGAAAGTACCATTTAAAATCTTCCACCTCAGCTGGCCATGGTTGTGAATGTCTGTAATTCCATCACTCTGGGAGGCTGAGTCAGGAGAATCACAAGTCCAAGCTCAGCCTGGGCAAGATAGAGACTTAGAAGAGAATCTGCTTCAAAATAAAAAATTTTAAAAAGGCCTGTGGATATAAATCAATGTGGGTTTAGCACTGCAAAGATAAAATAAAATACCCCCGCCCCACACTCTACTGGCCCCAAAGTGAAAAGAAACTGAAATTTTATTGGACCACTTTTCTTCCCGCATTGGTGGAGCTTGGGTTAAAGTTGCTCCTAAGCAGATAATGCCGGGAACAGCCTGGTGGTACTGCCTTCCTCCCCACCCAGCTGCTTCCCTCTCGTCCCCCAGACCCTGGCCTACGGAGACATGAATCACGAGTGGATCGGGAATGAGTGGCTGCCTAGCCTGGGGCTCCCCCAGTACCGAAGCTACTTCATGGAGTGCCTGGTGGACGCGCGCATGCTGGACCACCTCACCAAGAAGGACCTGCGCGCCCACCTGAAGATGGTGGACAGCTTCCACCGGTGAGCTGGGTGGACCCCAGCCAGGGCCCATGTCCAGGAGCAGAAGTGCCTCTCTCTGTTCCCATGGCCAGGTCTAGTTGGTAACGGGTCTCCCCTTTGGGAAAGTTTCACCCTCTTTGAATCCTCCTCTTACCCTGCAATTTGGGACAAAAAGTCATTTCTCTTCAGCACTTTCTTGGAGAGTTTCCCCCCTTGTCTCTGGGCTTCGTGAAATGTGCTTACCCGGAAAAGACTGAGACTGAATGTGGCATTTAGTTGGGTACCTCACGCCTTCTAAGCTGCGGGACCAAGGATATCTAGGCCCTGTTCCTGCTGACATTGCAGGTTGGAGCCCCTCAGCTTTGGACCCACATTCTGTGGTACAGGGACCAGCAGTCTTCTCTTCCTCTAAGTGTGGTGGTGGTGGGTGCCAAACTGGCAGCTCGTGGGCACAGTTTGGCCCACAGATAGGTTTTGTTTGGCCCACATGTATTTTAAAAACCATGAATTTAGTTGCCAGTACTTAAGCAGGAGTAGATTTTATATAAACCTCTGGATTTCTGGCTTCTCTTGAAAAACTGAGAGCTCCACCTGCATATTCCTGCATGGAAATGACCCGCTGCGGGTGAAGGGCGGTGGCCCTCACGGATGGGGTCCTAATTCAGGTCCTCCTGGGCTCCTCCCCCTGCCTGCCTCACTGAGCCTCCTGCCTGGTCCCCTGGAGAGTGAGGTGGGTGGTGATGGTTCCAGGAACTGGCGGCTGTTGGAGTCCTTCATAGCGTCCAGCTCTGGATAGCACGGGCTGCTGTTGAAGCTGGGTCTTTTGCCTTGAGTGGATAATAGAAAGGGTGAGGCTGGCATGTGTGGTTTTCGGGGCTTTCTCAGACTCATAAAACAGAACTTTGTATCTGCGACGGATGCAGTTAGCTTCCTCATCTTGGGAGCACAGGAAGGAGCACACGCTCAGGGTCACTTGGGGTGGAACAAGGCGCCGACTGCAGGCCCCCACCCTGCAGACTCCTGTGCCGGAACCCGCGGCCTCCCTGACCCTGGTGCCCCAGCACAACTTGCGAGGGCTGACTTGTTAGGGAAACCTGTGTCCTGCCTCCAACTCTCTCCCCCTCCCCTCTTCGGGGCTGAAAGGGAATCCTTTGTCTATGCACAGGAGGCTGCCAGGCCTGCTGCACCTGTCCCCTGCCTGGTGATTGACAGGGCCAGGGAGAAGGCCTTGTCCCTGGCCAAGCTGGGACATGCGGGGCTGCTGGAAGATGTCAGCCAGCCTTGCCCAGCCCTGTGGAAGTCCTACCCAGCCCCTTTCCCCAGAGCCGGGAGCGAAGCTCAGCCTGCTTCGCGCCTCTAGCTCTGGCCCCACATCTTGAGTGCTTTGGAGTTTCTCAAGCATCTCCTGCATGCCTCACCTCAGCTGTGCATTTGCTTTTCTTCCACGTGACATTTCGTAGGCATTTTCTTAAGTCTCAAAAACTTCTTAGAAACTTCATGATTTTTAGGGATATGTAAAAATGCTTATTTATAGACAGAGGAAACGTCCAATAGAAGCGGAGGCCCAGCAGCCAATCAGCCAGACAGCAACAGAATGGGCCAACACCCCCATTGCTGGACACCCAGCTCACAGGGTTTTCCCTGGACAGGGTGTTCTGCTGGGCAGGTTTCCCAGAGAGTTCCTGTTTGCCCTAGAAGTGGGGCCTCTGAGCCCTGATGGCGACGCGTCCTAGGCGGAAGGGCTTGTGGGGCAGAACTGGGGAGAGAGGAGGGAGCTGTCAGCCTGACCGCACCTCACAAAGCAAGAGCCCCAGTAACAGAGTCAGACGCAGCTGCAGGGGGAGAAGGACCTTCTGTCTGGTTCCTCCGTGGATGGAGAAACCTGGAAAGGCTGAAGGACAAAGTGGTGTCACATAAGCAAGGGCCGTCCGGGTCTTCCAAGGCGGGATGAGCTGCCTCAGGAAGGGGATGAGTTTGGGGTCACCAGCTGAACAGGTGCTGGCTCAGTGCTGCTCCGAGGATGCTGTGGGGCGACTGCTGCCTTAGGAGCGGCTCAGACCCATGGCTCTGGTGGCCTGTAGGCTGGCTTAGGTGTTACTGATTCAGTGCTTACTATGGCCTGCTACACAGTAAGTTCTCTTTGTCATTTATGGGAATTATTCCATTTAATTCACTAGACACTTATAAGAGTACCTATTATATGCTACAAGTTTAAGATCAGTGAACAAGACAAAATCCCCTGCCCTCATGGAGCTAACTTTCTTACTTGTGAGGAACAGTAACTGTAAGGTAGGTGAGTAGATAAAAAGTTCTAGGGAAAAAAATGGACCAAGTAAGGGGAATTGGGAGTATGGGTCAGGGGTAGTGATGGTGATGGTGTAGTTTTAACTCTGATGAATAAGGTGACTAGCAGGCTGGACTGAGAAAGAGACATTTGAAAAAATTTGAAGGAGAGGAAGGAGTGAGCTATGTTGCAGGTGGGGGAGGAATGTTCTGGGCAGAGAAAGTAGCCAGTGCAAAGGCCCTGAGGCACAAAGATCTGGGTAGCCTGCTATGTTCCAGGACCCAAAGGGTGTGTGTGTGTGTGTGTGTGTGTGTGTGTGTGCCAGTGGCTGCCTCGGAGAGTGAGGGTAAGAGTAGCTACAGAGAGGGTCAGATGAATAAGAAGCCAAACGTGAAGCATCTTGGCGTGGGGCGGGAGGACTTGGCTCCTGTGTAGCCCAGCTGGCAGCAGGAGGGGCATGAGGGGCTGAGTTCCTTTCACACTGGATGCAGTCAGTGGGTTTGGACCGCTGGGGCAGGTGGGTGAGAACATGGCCCCACTGAGGCTGTGGCCGTGGTGGCTGTGTGTCTGCAGAACCAGTCTTCAGTATGGCATCATGTGTCTGAAGAGGCTGAATTATGACCGGAAGGAGTTGGAGAAGAGGAGGGAGGAGAGCCAGCACGAGATCAAAGGTCAGCAGCTCCGGCCTGGGGACCTGCTCAGGGGTGTGGAGCAGAAAAGCAGGAGAAAAAGCATTCAGAACCTTAGGAAACTCCGAGCCCGGGAGGGGAGATGCAGCCCCAGCCTGATGAAGGAGATGCTGTCCATGCCCGGGGCACAGTCGTAGCCTCTAAATCCCCTCTGGACAGCAGCCACCAACCGGGAAATGTGATGAACCCTCGGGACAGCGCCCTTAGACCGGGGTGCCCGTGGACCCTGATGATCAGGTGGGGCTGGATGGGAGAGGCAGGTTTTAGAAGAGACTTGGAATGAGAGGCCACTGTGGCCTGGGGAGGTGGGTGACCTGTGCCAGCACTGACCCCGAGATGCAGGCTGGCAGCCATGGAGGACGGGACTGGTTCTCCCAGAGAAAAGACTGGAGAGGTGGGGAGGCCAGGAGCCCAGAGCAGGCTGATGGCTCTGAGAGCTCTTTCTCCCCGGGTGGGTCTGGGCCAAATCTGTCTCTTTCTGCCCCTTTCCTTACTCTGCCCCACAGACGTGCTGGTCTGGACCAATGACCAGGTGGTCCACTGGGTCCAGTCCATTGGGCTTCGGGACTACGCGGGCAACCTGCACGAGAGCGGCGTCCACGGTGCCCTGCTGGCCCTGGATGAGAACTTTGACCACAACACGCTGGCTTTGGTCCTCCAGATCCCCACTCAGAACACTCAGGTCCGCAACCCTTTAGTCGGGCCGTGTCTCGCTCACAGATTGTAGGGGCCGAGGGGCTTCTGTGGGCCATTGCAGTATTCTCAGACCTCAGGTGTGGAGCGCTGCGTTGCTAAAGCCATAGGGAATGTGTGTCCGTCACCTGTGTCAGTCCCCACCTGCTGTGACCGCTTCATCTCCTCCCAACCCTGTGTTACAACTGAGACTGCCTTCCTTGGCTGTCGACCTGCTTCTCCGGCCAGAACATCCAGATCTCCTTTGTCTGCCCCACTAGGGATCTACTCCTGGGTCCTTGGGCCTTAGAAAGCTAAATATACCGGATAGCACAGCCCAGAGCCTCTCTGTGCCAGGACTTTGCCTGCCTGTCAGCAGCACAAAAGATTAGACTTCTTAAATTGCATTTCATAATTATTATGGAGCTGTCATCCAAGAATATATCGAAGTCCTCTTGAACCTATTTATATTTTTGGCCTTTCCTACTTCCTGTGGGTAATGGGATTCTAAAAGTACTAACAGTTGTGTAAAGTACTTCCTGATTCTATTTGCCCTAAATATGCCCCTGTCAAGCTCCCCCGGGCGGAGGGAACAGCTTCCTCCTCATAGATTAAGTTTGGTAAGGATGCTTGTATTTGACCAGTTCTCACCTTTTGTGAAAACTGAGAATTTCATAAACTCTGATCAAATCATCCCCAGGCCTGAGCCTTCGGCAGGCAGCGGAGTGGTCTTAATTCTTTTAGCCTTTGCTCCAGCAGACCCGCCTTTGTCCCTGATCGGTTTAGCTGCCCTTGTCTGGACTGTTTGCAGCTGTCAGATTGCTTTTGAGACTCAGCCACCAGCACAGCACAGGCTATTCTGGGAGTGGACACGTTTTGGCTTGAGGGAGGGTAGGGCTGTGTTGTCTGGTAGTTCTGGGGGGAGCGTTGGGCTCTGGGGGGTCATGGCAGCACACAGGGCCAGTGTGTCCTTAGTGACCCCTCCTACCCGGTTAGAATGGATAGTGCAGATCCCTTCTACTCCAAGGACAGCTTGGATCCCCCAGTACTCTCTCTACACTTACTTTAGCTCCCACCTCATTTGCTTCTTTCCTGGCTCCTTACACAGCTCTGTGAGGTGATTTTGAAGTCACCTGTCTGCTGAGCCTTTCCTTACCCCAAGGAGCAATGCGATTGGAAACTTGAATATGTGTTATGCTTCCTTCTCCTTTCAGGTTGTTGTTTTTTTTTCGGGGGTGGGGTTTAAGATAGGGTCTCATTCTGTAGTTGAGACTGACCTGGAACTCACTATGTAGCCCAGGCTGGTCTCAAACTCACAGCGATCCTCCTGCCTCAGCCTACCGAGTGCTGGGATTACAGGCGTGCGCCCTCACGCCCAGCTTCAGGTTATTTGTGATAATCTTACATTCCCGATACTGATAAATACTGTCCTTATAGAATGCTGTGGTTATGATCTTCCACCCACTCTTTTACTTCCTATCTCAAAATGCATTTGGATTTTGTGGATAGCAGCAATCCAATAAGCAGCAATCCAGCAGCAGGGATGCGTCTCTGTTGCTTTCTCGGCTTTCATATTTTTCTGACCTCTTCATTTAGCTGCGTTATTAGGGGAAGTGATATCTGACCCAGTATGGAATTCTTCATTTAAAATGCTGAAAATGTTTGGTGGCTGAAAGTTTTAAAAATTTTCCTATGTCTGACAATTTTCTTAATGAGTTAATTTCTGGGAAGCCCAGAAAAAGCTTTTATGCACTTTGTAGCTCACAGCCACAGATAACCATGATTGGGTCTTCCTAATTTAAGTTTGTGATGTAGACCCTTGAAATATATTTATTGAATCCAAGTAAGTTAAGTTTTGTTTGTCTGTGGTCTGCATGATTTCCCCCCACACCACCAAAAGGCAGGCAGGCACGATTTTTTTGATCTTATGGGCCAAATGTGCCCCCGACCATAGGTACAGCCTATCCTCCATTTGCTCTATGATCCACTTTTTAAAAAATTACATTTTTTCTAATTTTCTAAGGTTAACAGTTTTACTTCTAATAGGACACTGAGGTTTCTTTGAAGGAATGGCCCCAGGAAGGTGGTACAGGATTCAAACGAGCTAAATGCACCAGAGTCCTGCCCCCTCTGCCTTTGAACCCTGGGAAATGGGGGGAAGATGCTATAAAGGTCATTGACTGCAGACTTTGCTCTCTCACCCTGTGGACTCCAGGCCCGCCAGGTGATGGAGAGAGAGTTCAATAACCTGTTGGCTTTGGGCACAGACCGGAAGCTGGATGACGTGAGTACCTGGCCATGGATCAAGAGTCTCAGAGACTGGGTCACTGAAGCTCACAGGTTCTGCTTTCCTGGGCTGGTGACGGGCGGGCTGGCCCGTCTTCGGGCAGCAGTGGGCTGTGGAGAAGTTTCTATGAAACTCCTTTGCGATATGAAAGCAGCAAGGTCCTCTGTATCACATTCTAGCATTGTCCAGCTCTGTGCTCAGCCCCCCTTGCCACACAAGATCAAAGGTGTTTTCCCCAAGACCATATCACCAGGATACTGTCTGTTTTTGTTGTTTCTTAGGCCAAACCAGCACATCTCTGTCCTGCCCAGTAAGATTAGCTGTTGGTTTTACGAGGTCTTCCCCTCGAGTTGAAGGACGGCCCTGATATCCTGAGTGACATTGCTCCCTAAGATGTCTGCTATGCTCCCTGGTTTCTTGAGGATGCGGCCTCTCCTCTAGCCAGCCTCTTCCCTACTCACTTTCCTATCCCCAACCTTGCTTGCCCTTGCTGGTCAGGTCTGCCTCAGCTGATTTGGCTCCCAGCAAGTTAAAAAAGAGCCTGGACTCTGTTTATTTTTAGCTTCTCCCATCTTCAGTCAGATCATTGTTTCTTAGTTGGGTTTAACGGAGCTAAAAACCACCTTGGTAGAATGATCACTTTGAGTAGAAAGGAAGGACACAGTCAAGAATATACAGAATTTGATGAGGAATGTTTTCTTTGCAGAGGTACCCTGAGGTTGGGGGGGAAGAATAGATATATCTACAGATATATAATATACATATATGTATATATTCCAGTCGAGGAGATAAATGAACACCCCTCCAAGTGACCCCACTCTCAGAGACCTCAGTTTTCCCAGTGCTCCAGGGACACTGACCCCACTGCTCAGTCCCACACACCTAGCACTTCAGCTTTCTTTCTGGACAAAGACTCCTGTATAGGTTAGCATGGTACTTTCTCACATAAAAAAAAAATTCCTTTAATTCTTATAAAATACTCTTTGAATGCCTGTGCCGGATGGGCCAGGCATGGTGGCACAATGATGACAGACATTTCGCTTTATGCTCACCGTCATTTATGGGCAGGGTTATTATCCCCATTTTACAGGAAACTGTAGCTCAAACAAATATGTTACCACAGCCCTGGGGCCGGCGTGTGGCAGGCCTGGGGCAGACCGTCTCTGATTCCTTTGTCCCTCTCTGTGTCCTGCTCCTCCTAGAAGCTCTGGGAGCTGGGCTTGGAGGCTTCAGCTCTTGGGGTGGAGCGATGGAGTTAAGTAGGCGATACCACTGGGCAGCACAGTGGTGTTTCTGGGACGCAGCTGGAGAAGACTTTTTTCTTGCAGGGAGTTTAGGATGGAAGCCAAGTGTTAGGAATAAGGTGAGATTGGTGACGGGGGGAATACCAACGGAAGTCTGTAAGGAGAAGGCCTGGGGTCCAGCCACCTAGCACTGTATCCATGCCTTGGGGTGTCTCTTTTTACAGCTAGGCCTCCTGCCAGTTCTGGCTCTGACCCACCATGGCTCTGAAAGACTTCACCCAGTTCTCCCTCTGTGTGAAGATCAGGACCCAAGAGGAGGAGAAGAGCAGGAAGAACATGTGCCAATCAGGGCACAGAGGAGGAATAGAAACGAACCCGGAGAGCTAGCTGACAGTGGGAAGGGGCTGAAGGGTAGGGTTATGGACTAGGTAAAGTGGAAGACAAAGTTCCAACTAAACGTAGGAATGGGATTCTTGTGTAGGGAGCTAACTGCCATCCGTTCATTTAACACATATTTATTGAGTGTCAGCAGCATTCTCAGATACTCCTCAGGAGCTGAGGATACAATGGTTAGAACAAAAAAGATCACAGATCATAGTTTCTGGCTCCTTGGAGAGAGGGAGAGAGGGGAAGACAGGGACAGCGAGAGGAAGGAGAGGAGAGGGAGAGAGAGAGAGAGACGGGTATAGGGAAGGAGGAAGGAGACAAGGGAAGGGGAAAGCAATACTAATGACGAAATGATCTCCTAGGTCCCTGTAAAAATGCTACTAGGACGATGCTGTGACAGAGAGGTACTTGATGCTAAGAATTGATTGGAGCAGTTGGCTTCCATAGCACACAAACAAACCCAGGAGGGCATGAGTGGCCCTGTTGCTGCTGGTACCACTCTCCCTGCAGCCTGGAGCCCTTGAGAACACAGTGGTGGAAGGAGGCATGGCTACAAAGCAGGGTGGTTGTGGGTCTAAAGAGTGGGACAGGGAGGCCTCCACGTCCTGCAGGGTGTGGCCCTGCCTGCCTGTTGGCAGAGGCGGTTATTTACAGACCTGCCTGACACCAGTGAAGAGGTAGATGGAGGGAGGCCGCCTGCCATGTCCTTCAGAGGAGCATGTCACTGGCACATCTGATTCCCTTGGGGTGGGTAGCCGGCAGGTACTGTATCTCCATTCCACAGATGAGGACACCGAAGCTCCGTAAGGTCATGCGCTAGAAACATGGCAGACCCAAGATCGGAAGCCAGGTGTCCTGACTCCTGACATTATATCCGGCAGATGGCCTTACAGAGGCCCTAGAGGGACAGGACAGCATACGTGGGAACCGGTGGGCGATCCCATGGGGAGTGTGAGAAGAGGAATAGCTCGAAAGAGCAGTGGGCACCCTGAGCTCAGTTTGAGAAGAATGGGGTGTGCAGGGGAGCAGAGTTTGATTGCTGGATACAGGTCTGACCAGGCAGGGGCAGGAGGGCCAGTACCGTAGAAAGAGCGAGCCCAGCCTCCCCCAGGCTGGGAGCCAGGGCCCCGGTTCCGGGTTCCCACCCGCCCTCTGCTTGCCCGGTGCAGGGGGAGGACAAGGTGTTCCGGCGCGCGCCGTCCTGGAGGAAGCGCTTCCGGCCGCGGGACCACCGCGGG